TATCCTCATCTATAAAATGGAAATAATAATACCTACCTCATATTTACCTCAGGTAAAAAAATGAACACACATTTAGCACAATTTCTGGTACACAGTAAATGTGTCCTAGCCAGAGGTTATCATCATTATTCTACAATATTACATACAGGTCCACAATCACTCAGCAAAAATTCTAGAGGCCAGGTGTGTTCTGGGATGCAGAATTTTGGGGGTGTTAGGAAGGTAAACTAATACCCACAGTGTATATAATATAATCCCTTGAACAGACTCTGAGACAGTACCCACAATCAAATGTAACATTTTTGCAGTGAAACTGCCTACACAGGTAAATAAAGACCATAAATAGGCATGTGTCAGTTTACTTCGGATCAGATGATAAATGAGTTACGGAAAACTCTGGGCTTTCAGAGCTTTTTGGATGAGGGAGCTGTGGAGAGCAGCCTATGAGACCTTATTTTAAAAGCACCTGGGTCCTCAAGGACATTCCATGTCCACTAAGCTCACCAAAGGAACGTGTATGATGGTAGTAGACAGAATAAAGTTGTCAGGAAGACTTGGAAAAGCTACACAGCCTAAGTCCCTCTCTTTCCCTCCAGGCAGACTCCAGGACAGATCACTCTTGACCTTTTATCCTTTCTTACCCAAAGGAAGGAAGAAGAAAGAAAAACACCACAGCTAGAGATGTGGGCAGGAATCCAGCCCACCATCTTTCCCTTTCTTTAAGTTTTAGCTAAGGAAAACACAAAGAAAAGGCCAAATCTCTGAAGACAGCCATGTTCAAAATTGGGGGGGTACATTTTTATTTTTAATGCCTGAGTAATCTTTAAAAAAAGAGGCCTCATGAACAAGAAGAGTCTCCTATCTCCCAAGGTCACTACAACAACATGGGACACTTCACAAGTTCTTCCAGGTTGAACAGAACCCCCATGGTAGGGCCCCAGTGATATTCTGGACATAAAGAATATATAAATAACCAATTACTGAACCCTCAAGATGAATTCTACCAGCCAAAAAAGTCCAAGGTCAGCTTATTACAAAGTGATAGGCTAACAGAATTCAAATTGGCCACAAAAGTCTGAATTAGACAGCTATAAAAAAAAGCAAGTTTTCCTAAAGTATCACACAAAGGAGTCCAAAAACAAATGGCACTCTAATCTAATGCTCCCCCAATTCCCTTATGCAAATCATAAGCTTTACTTCTTTTCTTCTAGATGAATCAATGATGGCCCCACATTAAAGAAGGTGTTTACCTAAGTGGCATATAGAAAGTAGTCAGCATTCTAGTACAGGGCCAAAGTTTCTGTAAATCAAGTTTTATTGGACACAGCCACACCTGTTCATTTATATATTATTGGTGGCTGCTTTCATGTATAAGAGCCAAACTACTTGAATACCTGTAGGAAAGCCATATGGTTCGTAAAGCCTATTATTTTGTTGTTGCTGTGGTGGTGGTACTGGGTTTGAACTTGGGGCCTACACCTTAAGCCATTCCATCAGTCCATTTTTCAAGACAGGGTCTCACAAACTATTTGCCTGGGCTGGCTTTGATCTAAGGTCTTCCTGATCTCTGCCTCCTGAGTAGCTAGGATTATAGGTGTGAGCCACTGGCACCCAGTAAGCCTAAATTTTTTACCTATCTGGTCTTAAAGAAAAGTTTGCTGAGGGGGTAAATACAATCAAAGTACATGATATGCATGTATGGAAATATCACAATGAAACCCCTCACTTTGTAGGTAATATACACTAACAAGAAAAAAGAGAGAGAGAGAGAAAGTTTTCTGACCACTGTTCTTACAGAAGACTGACTAAGCTATCAGAGAGAACGATACTAAAATCTCAGTTCCATAAACCCCAGAAGAAATTACCTCGTGTTTTTGGTCTCAGTTTCCTCAAGTATAAAATTAGAATATTACTATCTATTACCACACTGTAATTAATACCACATATAAATTTGTCTATGTTAGGAAATACTCAAAAGTAAAATTATTTGGGCTGGCAGAATGGCTCAAGCAATAGAGAGCCTGCCTAGCAAGCATTGAGGCCCTGAGTTCAAACACCAGTACCACCAAAATAAATAAATAAATAAAGTTATTCAAGCTCCAACCAAACATTTTTAAAACTAAGACACTAAAAAGGCATTCATCTATTCCCTGTTAAGGAGTAACATGCAAGTACTATTATTTTCGAAGGCCAAAATTTCTTCACCTTTTCCCTCTTTTCTTTTTAGCCCTTAATTTAAAAAAATCTAGAAGTCCATCTTCAAAGTTTTGTTAATATAAAGCTACTCCCCCCTGTTTATACTATGTAAAAAAATGTCAAATAAAGCCTCAGACTCTGAATAAGAAATCCTGATCTCTGATTAAGAAAGCAAAGGGCGGGAGGAGCCTCAGATAAGCTTCCCGATTTCAGTAAAGCAGCCAAGCAATACTCGCTGAGCCATCTAAGTTCCTGTGTTGACTCACATATCCAGTATATGTTGAGCACCTACCACATTCCAGGCTCTGAGGCTCCAGGTGAGAACAAGGCAGGATGTCTCCATACTAAAGAGAACTTACAAACTAGGGGGCTGCTCAGCACTGTAAGATTACAACCACAGACATGACCCTGACTGCAAAACTACTGAAGTAAGTCACATAAGATATAAGAGCTTGAGCACTCCCAACAGTATCTAATCTGACATCAGTATTGCACGAACAGGGTAACTGAACTGTCCATGGTTACAAGCAAGTTAGTTTCAAACCCTCAAACTCTATCCTCCTGACTTGAGTCCAGGAGGATGTCTTTGCTTAGTAAGTACATCACAAAGGGTCCATTCTTAATCTTTTACACCTTTGTGATCCTACAAACACCACTCTGGAAAAAGCACCCAAACTTCAAAACCAGAATTCCTCTGGGCAGTGTCACTGCTTTCTTCTCTGCCTTCCAGAGAGAATATCCTGTGTATTTCTATCACTGCACACACCATACCAGCTCTGTAATACAACCATTTGCTTTTTACCAGTCTATTTCCATTGGCTATGAGCTCCTTGGAGACAGAAGCTGAGGGCTGATGACCACTAATGACTCAGAGCTCAGTATGTGACAGACATGTTATAATTTTATACTCACACTCTCACTTAGTGCTCATAAAAACTTGATTATTCCCACATTATGGGGAAACTGAGGCTGGGATGGTAAAAAAAAAACCTCACACAGTGAAGCAAACTCTACATATTACTAGTTAACATCATTATCACCCCAGTCCCCATCCCCAACCTCCTCCTTCCTAGTAGAAGTCGGACACTGTTCAAGTGTCCTCCCTCCTTCACACAGCCACATACTTCATTCAGGGATGGTTGACCCCTTCTTGAGACCAGCGTGACAGTTGAAACAATCTCATACACTCATTCCAGTTTCCAATGATACAGGGTGATGGGGACTCAAAGCCATCTGGCCTAAGGTGTTCTACAAAAAGTCTGCTGGGAGCTTCTGAGAAAGGTTTCCTCCCTAGTCACACACAGAATACTCTCCTTTTCTCTAGAGTTTATCTCAACTACTAGGCTTATCTAAAATAATATATTTCCTTATAGTTAATTTTAGGTCAATTGAGTCTATTTTCTGTTATTCCCAGCCAAAAACATTTTAATGTGCACACTGGAAAGGTAGTGAAGCACAGATTCAAACATATAGAAGGTGACTTTGGAGCCTTCGAAATCACAACAGAGTTGGAGCTTAGCTCAAGTGGCAGAGTGACTGTCTAGCAAGTGTGAGGCCCTGAGTTCAAATCAAACCCCATTACTGCCACAAAAAAAAAAAAAAGACCACAGAAACTGAACTCTCTGACCTCTCATCTCTATATCTCTAACATTTCTACCACCCAGCACCAGTGCCACACATATAAAAAAAGCACTTGTTAACTTCTGCCAAATGAATAAATAGATGAATGAAATAGAATTTCAGCTCAGCTTCAAATATAGGTAGGATAAATTATATATCCAATTGTAAGTAAAATATCGGGGCTCTAGGTAACACCCAACACTTGTTAAAGCCACACTACTCTTAGGTGGCACTAAGGTTTAATGTCTATACTACAACCAAAGAAAGAATCCTGAAAATACCAGTTTCTATATCCAAACCAATCTGAGAAGACCTGAGTTAATAAACCAAAGTGCAAAAGATTTAGTTTCTATAAGCCCCTTCTATAGTATTTATAGCACTATTACCAGTCATGCAAACTTCCCACTTTTCCTTCCACCTCATCCTTGATCCAAAGAAGCCACCCTCTTGGCAAACTGAAATAGAGTATGCTGGGGAAAGAAAGCAAAAGAGTAGGCAGAGAGGGGACACTTCTTCAGCACTTCAAGTCTTACCTAGTTCTCAATCATGAAAGCTCAGTCTTTGAATGGTAAAATAGTCAATATTCACAATTCATTTAGCCATGGGACCTGGAGGCTACCCCTAAGCCCCATCAAGGGTATATGAAGACCTTCACCTTTCAGCCTGAAAGATATCCTCTACACCATCGCCCACAGGTCAAAAAAAGAGTCCTTGACAACCATTCTATTTCTGGCCAGATACCCACCAGACTTCAAAACAGTGACCAAAAGGTAAAATGCTCCATACATCCTATTGCCAATTTGATCCCCAGAGAAGTTAGTGAAGACACTTGTTATTTACAAAGGGTCACTCAAAGATCTCATGACCTATTCACTGCAAACACTTTAAGGCTACAAATGCTTGTAAACTTCCCAAAATAAAACTCGTTCCTTACCTCTTCACTTGGCCTTCTCTCAGAAGCCATAAAGATTCTTTAATCTCCAACCAAAAACAAAAATCAAAGAAATGTCTACTTGCTCTAGAATAAAGTGTCCAAAAGACACAATCTGCATGTGTGCCTTACTGGAAGCCAAGGGATCATGCTGATTGCTGACAAAAGATTTAAAAAACAAAAAAAAGGACTAATTTTGATCTACCAAAGCAGCCCAGCCAACTTGAAGAGTGCCTTGTAAAATGCAACTTACCTTGTAATTACTAGAGTTCACCCAAGAGGTAGCGAGTCCATCCACAAGCTTATCTAACATGGTCTGGTCGTGTTCAAGGTCAGCAGACTTCTGTCTGTCTGAAAAATAGTCTATAAGTTCTTGACCAACCTGCAGTCGCTTCCCCACATCCTTTTGTAACACCTGAGCCAGGCAGGACTCCATGCGAGGCTCCATGGTGGAATTCAAATCCAGATCCAGCGAAAGCTAGAGGGCAGTCAGGATGACTCCCTCCCGGTAGCCAAACCGGGGAGGTTGCCTCTTTGTTAGCTGAAGGTTACTAAGAGCCTGTGTTTCAAAGATGCAATCCGGGGAATGGCAACAATGCACCATGTGTGTCTGAAGAGCAGCTGGTAGGATATTAAAAGTCCAATTTAAATAACTAGTAGGAGATAAAGGAGTGAGCAGCGGAGTGATGTTCTGCCACTGGGTCTGAAATACTTCATAATTCAGCAGTCCATTCTGAAAAGTAAGAGAGGAGAACAACAAATCAGCATGGACAGAATAACACTCAAATATTATGAAACACTCAATCTAAGACAAAGCAATTCAGGCTGCAGAATCGCTTGTAATCACACATGGTTGTGAAGCATGACTATTTGGCAAACATATCAGAAAAACATAATTATTATTTTTATCAGGAAATATCAAAGCCCAAAGAAAAGAGCCAATGAGCTACACAGTTGGTAGGTTGATATTCTTCACAATTTCCCAGATCATAAACGCACCAGTTAGAAAGCAATCTTCTGCTTTAGCTAGTGTATTTATTTGTAGCTTAAATTTTGCTTCCCACCAAAAACCTAACACCATTCTGTGAATCACTGTAGGTATTGAAGTTTATTGCCTTACTATATTAGTCTTCCAAAAAACTAAGTACTGGAGATGTGACAAGCGCCATAGAAACACCATGGACCAAAGTGGCCAGCTTGGTCACATTAACCAAAGGGAAAAGCCTACATCATATTCCTTGCTTTTTCCTCCTCCTCCCCTAATAAAGGAGACAAAACGAGGAAAAGGAAACAGACTCATGTTCTGCTCAGTTATTGACACAGCAGTACTCTCTGCTGACAATCGCACCATTTGGGTCTGGTGCTTTATTATGAAACTGGATCTCAAAATCATGTTTGGGCAATATAAAACACATGATATGGAAAAAGTACCAAAACTGTATTTTATTTTTGTGGTGCTGGGGATCAAACCCGGGGCCTTGTGCATGTTACGCAAGTGTTCTACCACTGAGCTAACCCCCCAACTCCAAAATTATTTAGCTACATAAATTACACAAGTTGTCTGGTTAACCTGTAGCTGCTAAAACAATTGTGCACATCCAATTCTTCCTTCAGTTTTTTCCTCTCCTAAAATCATTACCCAATTTCTTTCATTCTAAACCAAGACCCACAGGAAACCTATCTTTAAGATGAAATACCTCCTGAGACTATACTAAATAGAAGTGTTCTTCATGCTAACAGTGAGCCCCAACTTCCTGTTGTTCCAGCAGACAAATCTGTCCTATAGTCAAGTAAATTCAAAATTCTGTGTACAGTTAACTCTTCCAGTCTGAATACAGTGATTCTCTGCTTTTCTAATCCCAGCCCATACCTAATCTCAACATAAAAAGGATTGCTTCCAAATTAAAGAAGCAAAGACTTTGCGTTTGTTTATTTGAGAAGGATCTTGCTATGTAGGTCAGGATGGCCTCCATCTCACAGTCCACCTGTTTCAGCTTCACCTACTGGGATTATAAACATGTACTACTACACCTGGCTTAGAATCACAGGCTTTTGATATCAATGGGAATCACATAAGTCAAGTCATGCAATGACTTCAGAGCCCCAGCACATCAATATCCATCTTCTACTCTAAGACCTCTATCTATGTTGGTTGTCACGGGAAGGAAAGCATTTAACAAGTTGCTCTAGCTTACAGAGTAATCCTTCTTGGAGCTAAAGAGAGCTCTGCTTTCTGGTCATTTCCACACCATGGAAATAGGCCTTCCTTCACATGGAAGACATTCAAATATCAAAACAGGAGCTATTACCCTTCCTTCCAATTTTTGGCCCAATCATAATTCCTCCAATTCCTTAATTGACTCTTGTATTGAACTAAAGAAGGTACCAATGATACAGGAAAACTGGAGAGATCCATAGACCTTTTCTTATGGGGCCCAATATGAGCCCAAGAAACAGGTCAAACATGCAACAATTCTGTAGTAGATAAAAATAGCCACAACTTCTCTCTCTGAGCCAGGTGAAGTCTAAGTCCCCTCCCATAAGACTTAGGGCTTGGCCCTGTGAAGTGAGCAGAGACTTGCTGGCAAGGCTTGGTGCCTGATCTCTCAGAATGCTGCCCTCGGCTCCCATGTTGTGGGGAAGCCACCCACAGACAACAAGGCCACCATCCAACAACAGCTACAGAAGTTAAGTCTAAAGAACCAGCAGACAAACTACTGAAACAAACCACGAAATTGGGAGAAAAAACATTTCATTGCTGTTGGAGTACTGTTTGTGGTGATTCATTGCACAGCAATAGATAACTGATACACTTTGCTATCTTTTATCCTCTGTGAAAAGAGTCTCATATTCTTTACTCCTTTAAGAGGCTTAAGTCAGGTGCCAGTGGCTCACGCCTATAAACCTAGCTACTCAGGAGGTTGAGATCAGAAGGATGTGATTCGAAGCCAGCCCTAGGCAATAGTTTGAGAGACCCTATCTCAAAAAACCCATCACAAAAAAAGTACTGCTGGAATGGCCAAGCAGTAAGAATGTCTGCCTAGCAAGCATGAGGCCAAGTTCAAACCCCAGTAAGCCAAAAAGAAAAAAAAAAAAAATAGAGAAAGAGACCTAAGTTGACACCATAACCAATAATGATAACAATGCCATTTTAAAGCATGAACATGAAATGTCAGGTTCTATGCTAGATGATTTATATACACTACTTGTAATTCATAACCAACTCAATAAAGTAGTATTAATACCCCATTTTATAGATGAGGAAACTAATGTAATTAAAATAAAGGTAAGTAGTTTTATATAGATGCATGACCAGTGAGTTTTCTTATCTTACCTTAAAACACCTATTATCAGAAATCTGGCCTAGTTTTGTTTTGACTCTGTGAAAGGAGGGCAGACTTCATACTTAGTTAAAAGCAACAGGCAAGAGAACAAAGTCTCCATATTCCTGAAGTAAACACTGGAAAACACTCCACTCATTCAAGACTCTCCACAGTGGATTCTTAAATACCTACTATAAGAAAACCACCCCTTCAGGATGGGTATGTAGCCCAGCAACAGAAAAACTGATTACCTAGAGTTGTACCTAGCATGCATTAGGCCATGGGTTCAATTCCCAGCATGAAAGAACAGGACAGGACAGGAAAGGAGGAGAGAAGAGAACAGAAAAAAAGAAAAGAAAAAGAAAACCCCTCGTTGAACTAGAGTTGTGCTTAGCAAGCTCAAAGAAGATCACAAATTTGTACGTACAAGAACTGGTGGAATGAAAGAGACTAGAAGCTTTGGGCATTAAGCAGACTGAGTCCTCTTGTTCCTTTTTTTTTTAAGTTAAGAAAAAAAGGAAAATAATGATCATCCTCTCTTACACTTATTATTACTGAACAGGTTTTCTGATACCTTTTCCTATGTTTTTGAGTATTTTCTCCATCTCTACTTTCAAAAGAATTAATCACATAGTTCCAAATTTGCCAGGTACAAGATCACAAGGTCTCCCTCCAACCCCTAGTTTTCCTCCCTAAAAGTAAATGATGTCACTCGTCTCCTGTGTATCCTTTAGACAGCTTTAGCTACACAAGCAAATAGGAAATTTGTGCTCTCCTCTCTGCATCCCTGAAGTTTTCTAAGCATTTACAGTTAAATTGCAAAAATAGAAATCAAAAACAAAAATACAGTCAAAAGTTAATATAGCAAGAATGTTACAAAAACTTTATATTGAAAATTATAGAAAAGCTGGAAAATAAATGAAGATATTTAAAAGAAGTTGAAAGAGGAGGATGAAGAGGAGTTACAGGAAGAAGATAACTTGGAGGAGAAGGAGGAAGAATTAGAGAAGTTAGAAAAGGAAAAGTAAGAGAATGACTTGGAGAGGAATAAAAGGAGGAAGGAGAAAAAGTAAATCTCTTCCTTCCACCCACACCCTGACCAGACTCTCCACTAGGCAAGAGTGAAACAAGGATACCGAAGTCTGAAGCTAGCCTGTAACTCGAAGTCTCAGAAATTACCTATGTCCCAGCCTTAAGGAAAAAAAAAAAAAACAAAAACAGGCTATTCTGTGTAAGCCATAATGGAAGGCACCAATATACAGATTCAGTCCCTTCCCTCAGTGAGTTTATGGATAAATACAGCATCTATTTACAGTCCTAAGAGTCAGTTTTGTAATCATCCTTCAAGAGAGTGGTGCTACACAAAGAAGGGTGACCTTAGAGCAGTGCTGATATTAGATGAGGTTAAAATAGCAAAACACCTTTTTCTTTATTTATAAGGAAAAAAGAGTAACTTTCTCCCTTTAGTAAGATCTATGAAGGCTATGGAGTACAAATGTCACTGTTACCATTCACATGGGAAAACGGTAAATCAGGTACTTCTAAAAACGCTCCAACTCCTAAACCCAACCTCAACTGCAAGAGGCCCTTCACTCCCCATACCAACATTCTCTGCCTCACTTACTACAGTGGTTAGGTTACAAGCATCTCTACCTTTGCCTGTCACATCATCTTGGTCTTTAGGAGTAAAACATCAAAAGGCCAAATGACAGTCCTACTCATTCTTCTTTATAGCACCCTGGAAAGTAGAAATTAACAGAAGAACCTTTACAAAACAACTGCTCTACTCTGCTGCAGGCCAACAAGAAGACATTAAAAACTACCAGCATCAACGGCCAGCTTTAATAAGAATGAACATGAAGTAAGGAAAGGTAGCTTGGTATAATGAAAAGAGCAATAAAATTAGAAATTCTGACTTCTGGTCTTGACTCCACTTCCTGAGTGGCAATGGGGAGAACACTACATACATTAAATAATATTATGGATGGCAGCTAGATATGATGCCACATACCTATGATCTTAGCAGTCAGGAGGCTGAAATAGGACAATTTTGAGTTTGAGGCCAGCCTGGGGTCACATAGGAAGACCCTGAATCAAAAAAAGGGGAGGGGAGAAGAACACACCTACAGGTTAGCTCCTATCTGCCTCCCCTGTGGCCCTGAGGTACACTATTAATACAGAACTATTAACAATGGGAGATGGGCAAAACCAACAATAAGCTCTTTAACTTCTTAGTCTACTATATAGAGAAGTCAAAGGTAGAAGCATTTTAATCTTTACCTAGTAGTTCGAAACAATGATTATTACTTCTCATAAGTCTATGGGTTGGCTGGGCTTAGCTGGGAGACTCCTGCACTAGTCTCGCCTGGGGTCCTTCATGTGGCTGTAGTCACCTGGCAACTTGACTATT